AACCTCTTCTATAGAAGAGGTTCCACAAATCTACAGTGCCATTTAGAACTGGTCCCAGCTCCCTCCCCCTGCTCGTCCGCACATCATCAAGATGAAGAGTGACGAATTCTGGGAGTTGAAGTCCACAAGTCTTAAAGCTGTCAAGTTACAAGACCCTTGCACCCCATAACCCTTAGAAAAAAAACCCCAGGGGTGTTCAAACCTGACAGCTTTAAGACTTGGGGACTTCAGCTCCCAGAATTCCTCCTCTGGCTCTTCATCTTGATGATGTGCGGACGGGCAGGGGGAGGGATCTGGAACCAGTTCTAAATGGCACTGTAGATTTGTGGAACCTCTTCTATAGAAGAGGTTAGAACTGGCAGGAACCCACCACTGTTTCACATGTCCTACAACAAATTTTTAAATAATAATGAAACTAATTTATTAATATGAATCTTACAGACAAGGAGGATGCCAAGAAGAGCACTCTGGACAACAGGGAATGAGAAGCAACCTTAAAATGCAAAACAAACCATCAATCAACATTTTTCCAATTTTCTCCAGAAGTGTCAAAACACTTCTTCCTCAGCAAATGAGAGACAGGGGAGAGAATAATAAGAACAAAGTTTTCAGCAGGAAAAAATAGAGTATGTGGAACTGAAGCAAACATTACCTAAGAAGTCAAGGGAGATAAGATCGGAATAACAAAAAAGTGGAAATACCGGGGAGTGGAAGGGAAAAGGTTCCCTGGACAGCCAAAATGGACAGGTATGAATGAAAATCTATGACGAAGGAATGGATGGCTTGAATCAAAGAACCTCCAAGTAACAGATCAGAAATATTTTTGGCCTCCTCAAGAGTCCAAGAATAACAGTGTGGAAAAAAAGCTCACAGACTGCCTATTGTGGGAATAACACAGATTGCAGATCTCAGCTGATATGGAAGATAGGATCCACCCAATGAAAACCCATACAAATATTTGGAGTGCGGCAAGAGCTTTACTCAATAACTCTTCCTCATGATTCATGGAAGGACCCATATTGAAGACAGGCCCTACCAATACTCCCAATGTGGCAAAAGATTTAGCATGCAGACACAATGAGAGGACTCACACTAGGGAGAAACATTTTGAATGTTCGGATTGTGGGAAAAGGTTCACACAGAATTCTGACCTGGTGGTACACAAAAGGACTCACACAGGAGAGTCTCCGGATTGTAAGAAAATTTTCAGTCAGAATTCCAATATGGTGGCACATCAGAGGATTCACACAGGAGAAAAACCATATGAATGCCCAGTTTGTGGGAAAAGTTTCACTCAGAATTCCAGCCTGGTGGTTCACCAGAGGACTCATACAGGAGAGAAACCATATAAGTGTCCAGATTGTGGGAAAGGTTTCACTCAGAAATCCAAAGTGGTGGTACATCAGATGACTCACACAGGAGAGAAACCATATGAGTGTTTGGATTGTGGGAAACGTTTCCAGCAGAATTCCAACCTGGTGATACACCAGAGGACTCACAAAGGAGAAAAACCCTATGAGTGTCCTGATTGTGGGGAAAGTTTTGGTCGGAATTCCCACCTGGTGGCACATCAGAGGATTCACACAGGAGAAAAACCATATGTATGTCCAGTTTGTGGGAAAAGTTTCTGTCAGATTTCCAGCCTGGTGATTCACCAGAGGACTCATACGGGAGAGAAACCATATAAGTGTCCAGATTGTGGGAAAGGTTTCAGTCAGAATTCCAATCTGGTGAGACATCGGATGACTCACACAGGAGAGAAACCATATGAGTGTTTGGATTGTGGGAAACGTTTCCAGCAGAATTCAAAGCTTGTGATACACCAGAGGACTCACCGAGGAGAGAAACCATATGAGTGTGTTGAATGTGGGAAAGGTTTCAGTCGGAATTCTGACATGGTGATACACTGGAGGACTCACACAGGAGAGAAACCATATGAATGTCCAGAGTGTGGGAAAGATTTCAGATATAGGTCTAGCCTTATAAAGCATGTAAGGTTACATATAGGGGAGTAACCAGTCAACTACCCAGATTGCAGACAAACATTGTTTTGCACAAAATTCCTCCCTTATCACACACAAGAAATTGCACTTGTGGCAAACCTTGATGTCTGTAGAGAAATCTTGAGTTTTGTTTCTTATCTCTCGTTTGTAACCCAACTGAGCAATTTACCATATAATTTCTTGCATGGTTCTTTTTAGTGAAAATCTGCCCTGTAGCACTGTATGGCACTGAATGCTGGGCAGCAACAACAGGGACCCAAAGCTAGATCCATGCCATGGAAATGCGAGTGCTAGGTTGGATATTGGGCTTCCCCGTTCTTGAACACTTCACAAATGACACTATTAGACAGCATTTTGGTGTGGCAGCAATTATAGAGAAGGTGAGAGAAGGCCAACTCCACTGATATGGCCATGTCCAGAGAGGAGCACCGTC